CTCTGTGGCACGACAAAAATATGAACAGTGTCCTGAGTCATAGTTGGGCGCCGCAGACACCAAAGTGGTGCATCCGGTGTGCGACCCCCTTAAAGCTATAATTCACCCAAAAATGAAAATTACCTCACCATTTACTCAATTTAATCTCCCTATATACCTTACATATTTTGTTTTCATGAAAAAAGAAATTTTCAAGTGCTCAATATATTTGAAAGAACACACAAATATTATTTTCATCTTTGTCACAATTTATTTAATATTTGTCCCAAGGTAAATCTTTTTTTAATACCATGAATTGTTTATTCGTAAATATCATTGTTTAAAAACCAAAAAGTACCACATTTTATAATAAACATTTTACATTTTAAACAAACCATATTCTTTTGTTTCTTCATTATGAAATTAAGATATCTCCATGACCCTGACATGTTTACTTCATAAACCAAAAATGTAACGTAAAAGCTTTCCAAGTATTGGCTCAGCTGCCAAAACTGACCTCCGTAGACTACAGCGAATAGTCTGGACTGCTGAACGAATCCCTGGCACTACCCTCCACATGGCATACTTCCTGTTTGAACTGTCTGGTCGGCGCTTCAGAGCACCAAGCACAAAAACAGCCAGACACAGGAAAAGTTTCTTTCCTCAGGCCATACAGTTAAATATCCCCGAACTGTGCAATAAATATTTGCAATACTTTCTCATGCGCACTTGTACACAGCACCTTATATCAATATACAATGCCATCCCGATTTCTTGACTAACTGCATCTCTGTTTAACCCTCTCAAGGCAGGCGTAGCTGATTTGCAACAGTTAAAAGCATAGACTTTGCCGGTTTCTAAAATGTAATTTGAGCCTGAAAAGGTTAATGTTTATCATATTTATTTTTTCCATATTTATTTTGTGTTGTCACTTGTCACTTTATGTACACTGGAAGCTTCTGTAGCCAAAACAAATTCCTTGTGTGTGAAGCACACTTGCAATAAAACTGATTCTGACTCTGATACATGATCATATACAATTGGGCTATTCACATCACTAGGCATATGTACACTTTTTTTTATCAATTAATAGAGGCAGACTGTCATACCATCGACCCAGTAGCATTTCATAAGTGTGGTGGTCTGATATCAAATGATTAACTAGCCAGATGAAAACAAGACTCTATTACTGCCTCCTCTTTCAGACAGATTGATCTGGTCACCTCATCTTGAACTACTGCCCCAAGGGTTTCTCAGCGCTAACACAGCTGCACCCAAACACTTCATGTAATAAACCAGACTTTCTTTCAAACACACATGCACCGCTGCCACTTACAATAGATCACTATATGCCTAATGAAACACTTACAAATGCTCTCAACACAAGTACGACCTCTAAGCGACCTCGAATCACAAGGGTCAATGAGGGCATGATTTTACTCAAGCATACGTGTGTTATATTAACGAACGAAGCCGCGTAAATACTGCGTGTGAAAAGCAGAATCAAATCAACAGTGGCATGCGAAGGAAAATCAATAAGCATTACAGATGCATTAGATGTGACAGCTACAATTTCATACACCGCTTCCTGTCGGCTCCCAGCAATTTCATAACAACACAAAGAAAAAGAGACATTATTTTTTCAAAAGCGTAGGAAAATTCATTTTGAAATTCGCTTTTAATAATTCATGCCAAGGCTTTCAGAGTGTTTCAACCTGAGATGAAGGAGAGAGAGGTGAGCGTGTGTTTATTGCAAGTTGTGTTTGGCAGGGGCTTTTCTGATCCCTCTGAATTAGTGCGCTCGCAGCAGGTTAACACTGATAATGCTACTCCCGACCTTCATGAAATAAACACTGTCTAACCTGCAGGCACACGGAGACCTGAAATAGTCTGCTATTAGGTCAACCGCAGATACAAGCTGTACATTGGACAAAACACACTGAGAAACCGCAGTGCAGAGGAGACAATGAGCAACACTCAGACTGATCAGCACTCCAAACATTTGTTCAAAGAATAATACTGTACTTACTGTATCTCTCTCTCTCTCACACAAACACACACACACACACACACACACACACACACACACACACACACACACACACACACACAAACCTTTTTTATCAAAGAGGTACTACACTGCAAAAAAAATGCTTTTTTAAACATTAATTTAAAAGATTTTGTCTTGTTTCTAGTCCAAATATCAAAAAATTATTCTTGATTTAAGAATTTTTAGATATTTGGAATAGAAACAAAAAAAAAAATCTAAGAAAAGCATTTATTGTAGTGTAGGGATAGGCATAAAAATGTATTTCTTTGTTATTATTTATTGAAGTGCAGTCAACACAATATTGAGTGTCATTACACACTGTAAAAAATGTGCAAAACTTGCCAGAACTTTCATTTATTCAGTCATTTTCCTTCAGTTTAGTCTTTATTTCAGAGGTCACCACAGCCGAATGAACCGACAACTATTCCAGCATATGTTTTATGCAGCGGATGGCCCTCCTCTCGGAACCCAGTACTGGGAAACACCTATACACTCTCGCATTTACACACACACTCATACACTACAGCCAATTTGTTTATTCAATTCACCTATAGTGCATGCCTTAAGATTGTGGGGGAAGCTTCTTGCTATGAGGCGACAGTGCTAACCACTGAGCCACCGTGCCACCTTGCCAGAACTTTAATCTTTAAAATACAAAATTTCTAAAAGTATGATAAATTACTGTATTTAAATAACTTATACAATGTTATTACACCAGCATTTTAAAGTGCTGATGAAAAAGCAGGTGGTGAGCAGAAAAGAATGTAATGAATCCTAGCTTTTTAAACTTTCCCATTAAAATTATGGACATTTTTTACAGTTTAGCCTTATTTGTACATTTAAATATACATTTTTTGGAAATTTTTCTAAAGAATATTTATGTAAAAGCTTTTGAAATAAAAGGCCAAAAAAATTAAAGCTGTAATAATTAATAAAGGTGATTCAGCTAGAACTAAGTTTCGAGTTTGAATGCTAATGCAATTTTCCTTTTTAATAGTTTTGCTAAATTGTCTGGTTTTCATTTTGTTCATTGTTGTTTCATTTTTGTTTCATTGTTTGAATATGTTTTCAACATATTCCTTCAAATACGCGACTTTGGAGACTGGTCTCATTCACTAACATTTATTTATAGACTTGAAAAAAACAACTTGTCTGCTGTTTTATGTTGCAAACTGGTATTTTCTTATTATATGGCATTTTATTTTTATGTTTTGTCATGAACACACTTGTTTGTAGAGCAAGTAGTTTGATCCTTTATTGTCGTTCATTTTAGTCCTTCCTTCATCATAGGCAAATTAATCAGAAGTTCTAAAACAGAACACAGATTACAGAAAATCACTTACTTCTTTATTGCAGAATAAGGTCAAGAGATTAATGTGGTAATTTATTTATTTATTTATTTTTACAAATTTAACATGATGCTCCAACATACAGTAGAATGTGAAACAATGAGTGGGTATGAATACTTTTGCATGACACTGTATATGCATATTTTGCAATAAACCTAAAATATATATTTTTTGATAGCTAAAACCAACACCTTCAAATGAATAGTTTCATATTCTTCTTTTGTTTCTAATTCTCTTCTGTCCTTCAAAGTGCTTCATGGGATTGTATTTCATTACTTCATTATAGTGATAAAGTACATTTTGTCTTTTTGTGCAATTTCTAAATATTTTATTGTTTGTTATGTTGTAATTCACCAGTAGCTGGTTCTTGGAAGGCACTAATGCACTCGAATATGAGCGGTCACTACTGGAGTCTATTACTGCAATCTTGAAAAGTATTAAGTCATCTGGGTATATTTCATTTCATCATTTTTTAATACCGTGAATGTATTCGGATATACTACTTGGATCACATACTGTATTTCGTCTACTCAATAATATGAAAGTTGGCATATCTGGGTGTAAGATGTGTCTAAAGACATAAATAAGTCATGGTCAAGCTCAGTTCAGGTTTTAAAAAGGCTTTCTCAGTTTGATCAGTTTGATCCTTTTTAAAATAAACTAGAAAAAGTGTATCCAAATACACTTGCAAATACCCCATTGGTAGATTATTTGGCTTGTTTTAAGAAAAAAACCACTTAATTCTGAGATAATATTTCTTAAAACAAGACAATAGCTTTTGCTTGTCTAGAAAATGCTCCTTGAATTAAGACTTTTAAGATATTTGGACTACAAACAGTGGCATGGTTGCTCAGTGGTTAGCAGAGTCGCATCACGGCAAGAAGGTAACTAGTTGGAGTCCTGACTGGGCCAGTTGGTGTTTTTGTGTAGAGTTTGCATCTTCACATGGGTTTCCTCTGGGTGCTCTGGTTTCCCCCACAGTCCAAAGATATAGTCTATAGACCATTTTAAGGGATGTAAACAAAAACAATGCTCTCAATGTATTTCCTGTTTCACATTTTTAATTTCTACAGCTTTTTAGAGCTTCTCCAAAAAGAGCCAGATATTGATAAATAATGTTATGATAGCAGTTTTAACATTTACAGTTATTAAATACTTAAATAACAAGCAGGAAATGTTCATGGGCCAATGACATGACCACATTGAAATAGTCTATAGGTGAATTGGATAACCTAAATTGGTCATAGTATATGAGTGTGTGTGTGAATGCGAGAATGTATGGCTGTTTCACACTACTGGGTTGCGGCTGGAAGGGTATCCTCTGCATAAAACATATGCAGTAATAGTTGGCAATTCATTTCCAATGTGGTAACCCCTGATAAATAAGAAACTAAGCTGAAAGAGAATGAATGAATGGACTAGAAACAAGACAAAAAATCTAAGCAAGAAAAGAAAAGTTTGCATTGAAGTAGCTTGTGAAGTGAAGTTTGTTGTGTTCCTGAATTTTAAAAGTCATGTCTGACTATATCTAAACAGTTATATCTGAAATCGATGTACAAGTTATTATTAGAGTTGCTATGTACACATAAAAAAAAAGAAGCAAAAGAGAAGTTTTTCTATACCTTCCATGCAATACGGTTGCCTTTGGAGTCATGTTCCAGTGCAATTGGAAAGTCTCCACGTTCATAAAACTTCCGGAAGGCTGTGGGTTTGGCTGGCCTCTCTCTGAAAGCCCCTGCAGCTGGAGGACCCACCACCTACAAGACATACAAAGAGAGAGAGAAAGCCTGTCAGATTCTGTCTCATCAGAGGGAATAGCAGTTCTAAAATCATCACAGAAAATGAAATGGTTTTGATCCTCTTTCATCCCAATGTAAATCTGCTTTCCCTCTGATGTGAGAGGAAGCATCTTTCGGTTTTATAGCGACACACTACAAACCATCAATTATTTACCACATCTGCCTCATATAATACAATCTATCAGATCACACAAAGTTCATATTAACGGCATAAATAACTGATGTGTTCGCCACAAACATACAAGATGCTTAAAATGTGTCGAGCTAAAGAAAATGGAATGAGAGTTGTTTATTGAGGAGCACAGTTGAAATCGCGACGGCCCCTGCAGTGAGAATGCAGCGGCCCGGGGCTTTGCTCCAGGCCTTGGCATTATATTCTGACTTCATATGAATAAAATCATGCAGTAAGTCACTCAATGATGCTGTTTTGCTTAATTGCTATGGTTGTTCAAATTTAAATGAACGCATAAGGCTAATGGTTAACAAAGCAACTATGCTAATGTGTTTATACGAGAATCACGTTTTTGGCACATTAAATCATATCTTGAAACGCATCCCATATCTTTTCTGTGGGTATAAGCAAAGTTCATGTGCAGGAGTGAATTGAGTTATTGTTTAGTGCCTGTATGAAATACAGGAGTAATCTCTATTATACTAAATTTGCAGTCTTGCTGTGAACATGAATTATAGATGCCAACTGTTTGAAGTTAGCTTGGGCGGTGCAATATTATTTATTTTTCCCCATCTATTTTTTATCTGCAATTAAGCCATAACTGTTGTTTTAATGATGTACAAGCTAATATCATTGATTATGTCATGTTCTTTGCAAGAAACAAACAAAAACATGACTTGCGAGTACAAAAGCATTCACTGGGTGATAAAGCAGTCTCTAGTGCAGTTAGTCACCCCATAGCTCAAGTTGTAAAAACAAAAACGGCTCTGCACTGAAAAAAAGATTCAGATTTACTAAATTATTTTAAGGTAAGTGTTTGCAAACAATGAATATGGGCTAAATTTTAACAAACAAATTAAATGAAGTAATGTTCAACTTTATTTGTTTGTTTAAATTCAGCACATATAAATTGTTTGCAAACACCTTAAAAAAAGAAAATCCTATGAATAATTTTTTTCAATTTGTCTGGGTGTTATTTTTATATATATTTATACAGTATTTTTGAAGTATATAAGATGAGAGTGCTGTTTTGATTTTATACAATAGTAATAGACAAACTATTAGTAATATAGCGTTACATTTTGAGATGTTCTTTTTTGTTTCACCATTAAAATGTTCCAAACTTTGCCAGAGAAGAACATCTGTGCATCTCATATCACTACTACGGTGTTTTGTCTCTAATATGAATCTGTTTTTGAACAAATCAAAACAGTGAATAATTCAATGATTTATTTATAAAGATTGTAACTTGCCGTTTCTAAATTAATCAGCAATTTTGAATAAATCAATGATTCATTTAAATGAATGACTCAAAGAACTGTCTGTTTTAGTCATATTTATTTACCATACAACACTTAAAAAATTATGTCAGCAAAATTGTTGTAAAAAATTTAAATATGTTGAATTTCAACAAAGAACTTAAATTTAGTAATGTTCAACTTAATTTGTTTGTTTAAATTCAGCCCAAATAAATAGTTTACAACCTCTTAACTTTAAAAAAATTTGTAAATCCAAGGAATCATCTCAATTTTTTTTTCAGTCAAGGCACTGCCACATAAAGGCATTCAGCAAAATACTCCTTGATCATTGTTACCCAAATTAATCTCTTAAATTTTTTTTATAAATAAATGATTATGTATGGTTTTTATGCCACAAAAAGGATGTATAAGATCAGAGAATCTATTCACAAAAAATATCAATGAATTGTTCTCACTTATCACATATACAGAAAATGTCAACATCTCTTTAATAGCAAGTATAACTGGTTCAAAACAGCAACTGCAAAATCATGTCATGTGTCAGTTTCCAAATAATTTATTCATTAAAGTTGCAGTTAGTTCTTCTGTGTTTCACTGAAAATCACTAAACACTTTAAAAACATTAAGCAGAATCCAGAACCAAGCATTCAATAACTCTTCAGTACATGATCAAATAATTCATTTAGATGGCAGCAGAATGCTAACCCACAACATTCAGCTGGTGATGGACGGCCAAGAAGTAAAAGTTCTCCACAAAGTGATGGTCAAGTGAGCACTTCCTGTGTGAAGGAAGACGATGACAGCTCAGTCCATTCTTTCTGCTGCTGACCCGAGAACACACACACTCGTCTGGGGAGTGAGCTGTGAGTCCTCAGCCTTCCCTTTCTATGAAAGCTGTGTTTCAATCACTGGAAAGCGCTCTACCTCAGAGAGAGAGCAGCTCATTAATCCTCAGGCTGACTTCGCATTGGAGATGGTGTAATTCCATGAAGGTGATCAATCACCTGCCCAAGCTGAGGCCACATCTCTCTCGCTCTCTCTCTGGGCTCCTAAACTGCTTCTGAGAGCCTCTGATGGATGCTTGGTGAGAGGCTGCAGCTCTCTGCTCGCGCAGGTGAAACCCGCATTAACATTTCCACTCTCATGGGACACATTCCCCTGACAATATCATTCAATTTCTGATAATGTGTGTGTGCGTGTGCATGTGTGTGTGTGTGGCTTGTGACTCACCAGGTTTAGCCAAAAAAACAGAGGCTGCTCTGATAAGGTCAGACTGCACACAACCGCTGCAGGCAACTAAATTACCTCACTTTATTCATGGAGCATTCACCTCCACACTGCATACATACACCCAGCAATTCACAAACACACATGCAGAGTGGTGTAAATAAATTACTAATGCTCAAATTATTGTAATTGAGTAGTTTTTTTTTTCTCAGGAGTTGTATATTTTACTAAGTAGTAAAAACAAAAAGTGTGCCTTTATTTATACAAATGTTTGATGCTATACGGGTAGTTTTACTGCATTCTTTCCCCTAACAAGGAGTAAGTACTTTATATATTTATTATTTCTTGTCTATGATGATTGCTTGACTAAGTAGTATTGGCCAATCAACATGGGATTCACAAATCGCAAACCGTCCTTGAGATGCAGACACTTATAATTGCAAAAAGTATATAATGCAAATACATTAAAAATGTCCAAGAAGATGCTAAATAGTACCAAGCAATACAAAGAGATTGTTTAGTCTGCTGAGAAGATGAAGGATACCTAGCGTAAACCTGAACCACACTGTTCCAGTTACTGAACCACACTGTTCCAGTTACTATGACCATTTATGTGAAGCTGCTTTGACACAATCTACATTGTAAAAGCGCTATACAAATAAAGCTGAATTGAATTGAATTGAATGATAAAATTGCCAAATGACCCTAAATAATACCTAAAGTCACTACACAATGTTACATTTTCAAATAAATGCAAAAACTGCATGGGTTCTATCCGTGCTGCAATACTGCTGGACATTTAAAGCTTGTATGTCAGGGTTCAAAGTGCATAATCTATTTAATCTAAAAAGATTTTTACCCCTTAGGTTAGGTTTCACAGATTTCACATGTGCTGTAATAGCATCAACCTGTCTGCTTATTATAGGTCCGTATTAGGCCTGTACGATACTGGAAAAATATGCAATATTGTTGTCAAGTCTTGTGATAACAATATTTCTTATAAAACTATTCCCTAGAAATATGCTATTTTTATTATCTATGTTTTAAAACTATTTATTTATGTAAGGACATTAAAATAAACAGGTAAAATGTATATTTTTCCAGATCTAATCACATTTTTAAAATGGTGTAAAAGTGCAAAAAATTGTCTATAAATCCCTATCAATGATTGAAAACCTCAACAGATATTGTGACTCATTTTTTCTCGTCTTCACTTATTTTCAGCTCTGGGTTCACTTCTAGCCAATTGCAGAACAGCAACTACTAGAGAGGTGGGGATAAAGTTAGAAAGGCCACATCTGATTGATCAAATTTATATAAACAACCAATACATAGAACACACAAATTCTTGGCGTAAAAAAAAACAATTAAGACACAACTGCGATACATATGTTGCATTATATTTCATTGCGATAACAATAATATTTTAATATATTGTGTATCGTGAATACATTAACGTGATGTGTTCTTGCATTAAATTAATCTCACATTAAATTTATAGTGCATGAATAGCAAATAATTTAACTTAAAGTTAGAAAGTAGGGCTGAAATCAACATTCAGAACCTATAATCGATCTAATTTTCCCACGTCAATTTTTTCAATTACCTTCCCGACCGTGTGTGAGTCACATGATTGATACCTACGCATCGAATGAAACGGATATGGTCCAGTGCAGCCTTTGCGCATCCCATACACATCCCAATTTCGCATCACCACGCATCTATCAAAAAAAATGTAACTACAAGTCGCACGTTTGCACTACATTGACGATGATTGGATGTTGCGCAGAGATGCCTTGAGACGTCACATTTTCCATTAGATTAAGATTATTACTTCCATTAAAATATTTGTTTACAGAAGATGTAAGAAATACACCGTTTAAAATATTATACACAGGATATGTAAAAGTATTTTATTTACTCTTATTTAATTTTATTTATTTAATATTAAAAACATTGAAATCAATACATTTTGTTTCCAAAAGTTATTTATTTTCACTTTTTTATTTAAAAAATTGACTGTTCGTTTTAGGCAATGTGTGTTTTAATTTCAGTTGTTCAACGTTGATGTTCAATAAATAATTATAGATGGTGTGTGTTTTCTAAAATAATTTTAAAATCAAGTAATGCACCTTTTATTTAAAAATCTCTGCCTTGTAATATGTGAGCATATTTACTGTACAACACTTATCAGTAAACTATGGGAGGAAAAAATAAAAATAATTGTTCATTAATTGTATTCGAGATTTTGATTTTAGGCCAAATCGCCCATTAACTTTTACCTTGAGTACTTTTTAGAA